GGTTGGACTAAGGTTGATTTCAAAACAGTGAAAATTAGGTAGAGCTGGAACATTCTAAATAATTGATTTCTGACATGTGTAAATGACACTCTGGTTCTCCCATGAAGCTTTTCTTCTCACCAAACTTCCCCATCTCCTCTTCCTCACTTCCTACCCACCCATCAGCTCAGTGTGCTCTGGCCCTGTCCCCACTCCTCCAGTGTGGCCACCAGAGCCCTCCTTGTTGTCAAAGCCAAGGACGCTTCATAGTGCCCACCTCCCCAGCCCTCTTGGCTGGACTGGGCATGACTGCTCACCCTTCCTTGACCGGCTCTCCCAGCTTCCCTTCTGCTGCTCCAGCCATTACTCTTCTATTTGCTATGTGGGCTTGTCTTCTAGTCTACCCGGAAATACTAGGGTTCCTCAGGGCTTTGTCCCGAGCCCTCTTCACACACTGCCTTATCCTTGGTGACCCCATCCTCATGCACTCTAAGGAACCATCTACCACGTTGCTAGCACCAAGCAAGGTGCTTTGCAGAACTGGGCATTTTTTTTTCCCTCAAGATACCCCTGTAAGGCTGGTCCGATTTCCTTTCCTGTTTTTTTGTTTGCTTGCTTTTCTTTTGTTTTGTTTTAAGATAGAGTCTCACCCAGTCACCCAGGCTGGAGTGCAATAGTGCTCTCTTGGCTCACTGCAACCTCTGCCTCCCAGGTTCAAGCGATCCTCCTGCCTCAGCCTCCCAAGTAGCTGGGGCTACAAGGCGCACACCACCACGCCCAGCTAATTTTTTCAGAGAAAATTATTTAAACTGTTATGCTTCATCTGTTAAATGTATTTTTTAGTCTTTTTTTTTTTCTTTTTTTCCCTGAGAGAGAGAGTCTAGCTCTGTTGCCCAGACTGGAGTGCCGTGGCACAATCTTGCCTCACTGCAATCTCTGCCTCCCGGGTTCAAGCAATTCTCCTGCCTCAGCCTCCCGGGTAGCTAGGACTGCAGGCATGCACCACCACACCCAGCTAATTTTTTTGTGTGTGTGTGTTTTTTTTTTTTTTTGAGACAGAGTCTCACTCTGTCGCCCAGGCTGGAGTGCAGTGGCGCGATCTCCGCTCTCTGCAAGCTCTGCCGCCTCCTGGGTTCACGCCATTCTCCTGCCTCAGCCTCCCTAGAAGCTGGGACTACAGGCGCCCGCCACCACGCCCGGCTAATTTTTTTGTATTTTTAGTAGAGATGGGGTTTCACCGTGTTCGCCAGGATGGTCTCGATCTCCTGACCTCATGATCCGCCTGCCTCGGCCTCCCAATGTGCTGGGATTACAGGCGTGAGCCACTGCGCCCGGCCTTGTGTGTATTTTTAATAGAAACAAGATTTCACCATGTTGGCCAGGCTGGTGTCTTAACTCCTGACCTCAAATGTTCCTCCTGCCTCAGCCTCCCAATGTGCTGGGATTATAAGCGTGAGCCACTGCGCCCAGCCAATTTCTTTAATTTGTTTAATAGAGCTAGGGTTTCGCCATGTTGCCCATGCTGGTCTTGAACTCCTGAGCTCAAGCTATCCACCCACCTCGGCTTCCCAAGTGCTGGCACTATAGGCGTGAGCCACTGAGCTCGGCCTCCTTTCCCATTTTACAGAGAAGGAAACTGACACAGAGCTGTTCCATGGTTTGAACAAAGTCACACAGCTGGGAATGGGCAAAGCAAGGATTCAAACTCAGGTCCGTCAGACGCCCAAGTCTGAGGGTCTCACACTGCCCCCTGATGTCAGCTGAGAAGAGCTCAAAGTGTGACTCCCCTGTTGGGGTCACTCAGATTATACAAAGAATACATAAGCCTCCCACCGAGCGTCCCACACACTCTTACCAGCACCCATCTTCTTTGCCCTTAGGAGAGAGTTGCTAACGCCCAAGAGCCTCATCAGTAAAAACCAGGGTCACCACCTGGGACAGGTCACCTATTCCTAAGGCTATACCTCCTGTCGATAAACAGGGCCTTTGAACAACTTCAAAGAGCACCTGAGCGAGCTGAGGGAGGTCAGTGGTTAATGTCAAACACACTTTGTTGCCTCAGGGCTCAGAGCAGGTCCCCACTAGAGGAGCCAAGTCTGTGTCTTCTCCTAGTGCAGGGTATCACTCGGGGAACAGAACAAAATCCCCCTGGGTTCCTGAAAACACGTGTGTGGTGTGATTTGAGAAAGAACATGGTTCTTGTCTTGGGTTCAAATCCTACTCTGCCAGTGCACCAGCTGAGTACCCTCAGGCAAGTCACTTGTAAAAAGGGATCAATAGCCTGGCACAGTGGCTCATGCCTATAATCCCAGAGCTTTGGGAAGCTGAGGTGGCAGGATCACATAAGGCCAAGAGTTCAAAACCAGCCTGGGCAACATAGCAAGACCCCAGTTCTACAAAAAACAAAAACAAAATACACACACACACACACACACATATATACACACACATATATATATGCTTACATATATAATATACTTTTATATATTATATATTTTTATATATTATATATGATATGACCCCAGTATCCTTTTGCTGACACAAAATTTCACCCCCTGTGTCTTAACTAAGAGCATCCTGAGCGCAGAGATTTCAGGATCATCTAGAGCCTTTCACCCCCTTTCAAAGCCCGCCTTGGAAGCAAACCAACACCCAAGGCAGCTTTTGGCCTTAAGAAGTGTGAAATGTCCTGTATATATTATATATCATAATTCATATATTATGATATATTTATATCATATATAAACATATATCATATATATTATTTATATCATATATAAATATATTATATATTTATATCATATATAAATATATTTATATAACATGTATGTGTATATATATTTTATATATATAAAAAACCCCATATATATATATATATATATATATGGGGGTTTTTTTGTTTTTTTTTTTAATGGAGTTTCTCTCTGTCACCCAGGCTGGAGGGCAGTGGCATGATCTCGTCTCACTGCAACCTCTGCCTTCCAGGTTCATCAAGCAGTTCTCCTGCTTTGGCCTCCCAAGTAGTTGGGACTACAAAAAATATTTGTAAAAAAGAAAAACTTAGGCCGGGCACAGTGACTCATGTCTGTAATCCCAGCACTTCGGGAGGCCGAGGCGGGCAGATCATGAGGTCAAGAGATCAAGACCATCCTGGCCAACATGGTGAAACCCTGTCTCTACTAAAAATACAAAAAATTAGCTGAGCGTGGTGGTGGGCGCCTGTAGTCCCAGCTACTTGGGAGGCTGAGGCAGAAGAATCACTTGAACCCGGGAGGCAGAGGTTGCAGTGAGCCGAGATCGCGCCACTGCACTCCAGCCTGGCGACAGAATGAGACTCCGTCAAAAAAAATAAAAGAAAGAAAAACTGGCCAGCCGCAGTGGCTCATGCCTGTAATCCCAACCCTTTGGGAGGCCAAGGCGGACAGATCACCTGAGGTCAGGAGTTTGAGACCACCTTGGCCGACATGGCAAAACCCTGTCTCTACTAAAAATACAAAAATTGACAGGGTGTGTTGGCATGTGCCTGTAATCCCAGCTACTCAGGAGGCTGAGACAGGAGAATCGCATAAACCTGGGAGGCGGAGGTTGCAGTGAGCTGAGATCATGCCATTGCACTCCATCCAGCATGGGCAACAGAGTGAGGCTCCATCTCAAAAAAAAAAAAAGCCAGGCATATTCACTCACGCCTGTAATCCCAGCACTTTGGGAGGCCAAGGTGGGTGGATCACCTGAGGTCAGGAGTTTGAGACCAGCCTGACCAACATAGTGAAACCCCATCTCTACTAAAAATACAAAAATTTAGCCGGGTGTGGTGGCGGGCACCTGTAATCCCAGCTACTCGGGAGGCTGAGGCAGGAGAATCGCTTGAACCCCGGAGGCAGAGGTTGCAGTGAGCCAAGATCACGCTGTTGCACTCCAGCCTGGACAACAAGGCTCAAAAAAAAAAAAAAAAAAAAGAATTCTTCACCTGCATCCCACCCAGAGCCAGTGGTCACGACTGCTCCTCACGTGGGACTGCATTTCTAAAGCATTGCCAGAACCCTCCACCAGAGCCCAGTGAATAGATGACCCAGAAAAGGCACGTCCTGGTTTTTTTTGTTTTGTTTTGTTTTTCCCCCTCTTGGATACTCTGAGACACTCTGAGCTGCTAAGAAGTCTGGACACCAAGGGACCTATTACAAAGGAGACATGATATTGTTCTGGAGAGATGGCATTTGCAATGTTGGCATGGTTACCATCTTGAGCTGGAGTAGCCGCCTGTCCACAAATTATTAATGCCACCCAGACAGAATTTTAACTTTTTCTCCCACTGTACCACCTGCAGTCAAGGTGACCTTATTGACCCAGCCAATGATAATAAAACCACTAGCAATAACATAGACAGACAGCGGCTCTTGTTTTTTAATCACTTACCCTCTGCCTGATTTGAGGATGAACACTTTACTCTCATATTATCTCCCCACATCCTCACTTGGAAGGAGGCTGTTAGCCCCACTATATGGATGAGGAAACTGAGGCCTAGAAGAGTCGGATTCTTGCAGTCATCTGAAGCCTTCCCCACTCACCTCCACTTTGCACTATCTACTTTGACCCCAATATCCTTTTGCTGACACCAAATCTCACCCCCAGCTTAACTAAGAGCATCCTGAGCGCAGAGATTTCAGGATCATCTAGAGCCTTCCACCCCTTTCAAAGCCCGCCTTGGAAGCAAACCAGCACCCAAGGCAGCTTTTGGCATTAAGAAGTGCGAAAATGTCCTGTTAGCTGCAATCTGTGAGCTGGTTCTATGAGCTAGTGGAGCTCAGAGCCCCAGTCCCAGCGCCCGCCCCCCACCAGCTTGTTCAGAGGAGCTCAGCTCTGGGGGAGAAGGCAAAGCCAACACCTATTGAGTTGCAGTTAAAATGAGGGCGAAAGAGGCTTTTGTTTCAGTTCTGCAGATAGTCTGGGAGCTTGTGTTTCTTAGCAAGAACTTTCTAGATCTTTTGGCTTGAACCATCTGAATAACTGCCTCAAGCTTTCACATGGTTCCCACAGGGTGGGCTGGGGTGGGAGGGGCTGTTGTGCATGGTCCGGGAAAGCTGGAGAAGGCTGTTGCTTCGCCCCGAGCCTTGGATTTCTTATCTGTGAAATGAGAGGCTGCAATGATGAATGGCAAAGTACCTTTTTTTTTCAGCTCTGAGAGTCTAGGATATTTCACCATTGGAAGACCAGCAGACAATGTCATGACAACTCAAGAGGATACAACAGGGTTGCTTCAAAAGACAAGTGTTTGGACCATGTCAAGACCTGGAGTGAAGAAGGTAATGAACTCCTACTTCATAGCAAGCTGGCCATGGGCCAGCAGTTTGCTACTACGCTGTCTCTTGGTTAAGGCAAGGTCAGAATTGTTTTGATTTTACAGATGAGGAAACTGAGTCCCAGGGAGGTTAAGTGTCTTGCCCAGCTACAGCACCTCTAGAGAGCAGGGGCTCTGCTCCATCTTCACCATTCTTCCCACCACTGCCCCTGACCTTCAGAGAGCCTGAGAACATTCTTTTAGCTGTTGAGCTATGAGCATAACTGTCATCAGCTGCTGCTGAAACTGTACCCTGGGAAGCAAGGGAGAGGGTCGCTGAATTTTCACCATGGTTCTCTGCCAGGCAACTAGGCTAAAAAACATCTTTTTCTCCCCAGTATGTTAGTAGGAGGCAAGCAGATTGTTATAGCCTTCTGTCTTCTTGTAGATAATGGTGGCAGGCTGGCCCCGACTCAGGAGATAAAGAGATCTGAGAGGACCATAGCCACATGAGAAGGCCGACTTCTGTAGGAGGCTGGCTGGCCTCTGCAGAGACAGCACTGAGCTGCCCCTGGGGTCGTGGGTAGGACCCATTTCCTCTTTAAAGATATAAACTCCTCTACCTGGCCTTTCATAACCTGCCCCTGGCCCATCTTCTCAAGGTCATCACCCACTTCCTGGACACACTAGGCCCACCAGGTTCCCAGACTCTGCCCATGAGTTTCCAGAATGTTCTCTCCCATCCCTCCACCTCATTCTCTGCTTCTTACACTCCTTTAATACCCACTGAAATCTTAGCTCCTCTAAAGAGGAGGTAAGTTTCTCCAACTTAGAAGTGCTCTCGCCTTCCACCTACTCCCACTGTGACTCTGGTATCCATTGTCTGCCTAGAGTGACACTGGTAGGAATGTCTGTGGCTTGCTACTGGGCATCAAGCACTATGTTTTGTCATTTAATGTAGTATAAGGTCTCATTTAATCCTCATGGGAGCTATTCCTCTTACACCCATTAAACAGATGGAAAAATTAAAGCTCAGGGAGGCATCCTCTTACCCAAAGTCACGCTGCTATTAAATGAAGAATTAGGATTTGAACCCAGGTCTTTCTGACTATAAGGTTCACACTCTTTGTTACATACATCTTCTGCTTCCCACTTCCTTAGGAGGCAGCCCTGTCCTTTGTAATAGACTGTAAGCACTGGAGGATGGGGCCTGTGTTTCATTTACCATCTGAGCCCCTGGGATGCCTGGCTGAGTGTCCTGGATCCAGGCACTGCTCCATGAATGCTAAATTGAATTCAGTTACACCTTCTGCGTATTACAAAACTCCCATCACCAGAGCCCCCTTTGTGAGTGGCCAAGATCTTTTGTCCTCTCCCCTTCCACCCCAGGAAGGGGAACACCTGAAATCAGCTGACAGCTAACATTAAGTGACAGCTGAGTGAAAGGCAAGAAAAGGGAGGGAGCAAGGGGGAAGGCAGGCAGGATTGCAGGAGCCGGGAGGGAGCCCAGAGAAGGAGGAGGGCTGTCCTGTTGAATCTGGCCAGCATGCAGCTATTCAGAGTACAAGATATGGAGTTACCAGACCCAGCCTCAAATCCTAGCTCTTCTATAGTAGCTGGGGAAACCCAGGCAAGTTGTTGGACCTCTCTGAGTTTCAGTTTTCTTTTCCATAAAATGGGCATGTTGGAGGTGGGGTGGAGGGGGGTGGGGGAGAATAAAAAAGGGCATGTCACTGTCCTCAGTAAACCTCTTCATTCAGGAGGAATGAGGCTGTGTCTGAGGGAGGGAGGGAGTGCTGCCTACTGGGCTGTTACCTACTTTAAATGGGGACAGTTGGAGGACCAGCTTAACCTGAAATGGCTTCCCCATGAAGTCATTGAGCCCTGAAGGCCTGGGGCAGCAGGGAACTCACAGAATCACAGGCCCATAATAAAGATGTTGGAGACAATTCAGTTTGGCTTTCTTACTCCAAGAGGCAGCACAGCATGGTGGACTGATGGCCAGCTCTGCCAGCAACGGGCTATCCCCAAATCCTGGCCCCCACTTGGTAATTGTGTAGCCTTGTGCATGCCACTTTGTCCGTCTCAGACCACTGGTTCCTTTTTTTTTTTTTTTTTTTTTTGAGACAGTGTCTCGCATGTTGCCCAAGCTGGAGTACAGTGGCGTGATTTCAGCTCACTGCAAACTCCGCCTCCCAGATTCAAGCAATTCTCTTGGCCCAGCCTCCTAAGTAGCTGGGATTACAGGCATGTACCACCATGCCCGGCTAATTTTTTCTATTTTTTGTACGGACGTGGTCTCACTGTGTTGGCTAGGTTGGTCTCAAACTCCTGACCTCAAGTGATCCGCCTGTCTCAGCCTCCCAAAGTGCTGGGATTACAGGCATGAGCCATCGCACCTGTCCTGGTTCTTCATCTTTAATATGGAATTTAAAGTAGTTCCTTTGCCACAGCACTACTGGGAAGATGAGAGACCCAGACAATAACAGCTGGTCATTCAGCTGGCCCTGTGGGAACTGAGGCTCAGAAAGGGAAAGTAATTCACCCACAGTCACACAGCAGGTTAGTGAAATCAAGCCTATGCCCAGGGCTCCCAAAGCCCAACCCTGGGCTAAGCATCAGACAGCTGTGGCCTTACCACAAAGAAGGCTGAGACTACCCTTGGACATGCAGCCAAGGAACTCATACTGGGAAGCACTAGTGGGATTCTGTCTCTCACTGAGCTGAAATAATTGCTTGGGTTGCCTGTGGATAGAGTATAGCAAAAAGCCCAAGTCACAGCCTGTGGTCACATGTCCAACTTGGGGTCTAATCCACAGTATAACCCTGGCCATGTCGGGTCACCTCTCTGACCTTTCTGAGCCTCAGTAGTTTCTCCGCTTACAAAATGAGGGCAAGAATTCCTGGCAATGCAAAGGAATCATATAAAACACAGACTATTTCTTTTCTTTTTTTCTCTTTCCCTTTCCCTCTCTCTCTCTTTCTTTCTCTCTCTCTTTCCTTCCATCCTTCCTTCCTTCCCCTTCTTTCTTTCCTCCTTTCTTTCCTTCCTTCCTTTTTTTTTTTTTTTTTAAGACTAGGTCTTCCTGTGTCACCCAGGCTGAGTGCAGTGGCGCAATCCTGGCTCACTGCAGCCTTGACCTCCTGGACTCAAGTGATCCTCCCACTTCAGCCTCCCAAGTAGTTGGGACTGACTACAGGTGTGCACCACTACACCTGGCTAATTTTCTATTTTTTATAGAGACAGGGTCTCAATATGTTGCCCTGGCTGGTATTGAACTCCTGGATGCAAGCAATCCTCTCGCCTCAGCCTCCCAAAGTGCTGGGATTACAGGTGTGAGCCACCATGCGTGGTCCGGAGCTATTTTCACAGCAGTTACCCCTGAGCCACTGGGCACCTCACTGTGCTGTTGCTAGCAACGGCTTCATTTGGTCCTCACAACAACCCTGCATGGTGGGAACCTACTTTGTAGATAAATGGCTAGGAACAGGTAGAACCAGGATCCGAGCTCAAAAGGTATTCTCTATGTCCGTTCTCTCACCCCTCCTCTTTCCCTACCTAACTTGGGCTCCTTCTTCAGGTTTCAGTATCACCCTGACCTCTTTTGGAAGGATCCCTTGGCCTCAGGCTGGAGTAGGCACCTGCCCTAGCCCACAGAGCTGGGTTTCTCCCTTTCTTCAACCACACAGGGAGCACCACTATGCAAAGACCTCATCACGTTCACAGCCGTCTCCCCAGAGCCTCGCACTGTGCTTGGCATACAGCAGGTGCCCAGTAAATACCTGCCAAATGACTGACTGCATCTCGCCAGCCTCAGGATGCCACCAGGCCCTGAGGGAGCCAGGAAGATCAGAGGAAAGCTTTTGGATTCCTGCCACGCCTCACATTAGCAGCATCTTCTCCGAGTCCTGACAGCCAGCCTCCTGGGACACCATTTGAGCCAGCTGAATTCCGGTCACTGCTTCACCTTGGAAAGGCATCCGCAGCCCTCACCAAGCAGCCCCGTAATTGACGTCACAGTGGGGCCAGGAGCTGCCCTGTTAATATTTTATGTGGCCTTCACTGCGGCAAAATGCAGCCTCCAAGAGCTGGAGGGGCCATGCAGAGTCTCCGTGGGGTTGTGAGGAGGGCACAAATGGGAAAGGGCTTCATAAACTATAAAGCTCCCAACAGATGAGCATCATTGACCCATTTCAGTCCCTGGCTTAACTCAGAAAGAGCCGGGGCTGCACATGCCTGCAGTGGAACAAGAAGACTGCTGACCGAGCCCGAGCACTAAATCAATGGGGGATTAGGGGCTCCTGGGTACATTTCATGGAGACAGGGGGAGGGCAGAGCACTGGTGCCAGCCAGACCTGGACTCCACTCCAGGTTTGCCCCCCTGCACAGCTGTGTGACTGGGTCAGCAAATGGACCACTGAGCCTCAGTCCCCCTTATCTGTGAAATGGGGATGATGATTTCCTTGTAGCACTGCTGTGAGGATTCAATAAAACGAGTGATGCCGAAGACCTAGCTTCACACATCGCAGGCTGTCAACACAGGCTGAGACCCTTCTCCAAAACCAAGCCTGGCACCTGAGGTTGGAGAGAGGAGATGCGGGGCCCTTTCAGGCATTCATCGGGCAGAGTGATGGCGGGAGGGAAGAAGGAGCAAGGAGGCACAGGAAGGATGATCTGGGAGCCAGGCATCTCAGGTTTGGACTTTTCACCCTGGTGGGCCCACGCCAGGAGAAGTATCAGAGAGAGGATGGGGGGGCGCCCCAGGATGGGTGGAGGGCCCCGGAAGCAGAAGCAGAAGGGCCCTCATGGACAATCTCTCTGATCCTCTGGCCCCTTCGGCAGATGAGCATCCGGGAGGGAGCAAACCATGCCAGTGGCTCACACAGCAGAGCTAGGGTCTCACTGGCCTGCAGCCCTCTGGGGCTTCATTAGCTGGGGTTTATCCAAGGCCACATGCCTAGCTGGGGAGGCAGATGTGTTGGAAGACATGATGCAATGGCCCCATTCCTGGTGGTGACCTCCACTTCTTTGGCCTGGACAATAGGAGGAACCTCATCCCCCGCCCCTTCCTGGTCTCTCTCCAGTCTATTTTCCCATGAATCCTGGGAGCTTCCCAAAATGTAAATCTGACCTTGTCCTCACCCTGCTTAAAACCTTTCCATGATCCCACACTTAAGGTCTCCAGAGAAAATACAGGAGGCTCAGTTAAAACTGAATTTCAAGCTGGGTATGGTGGCACACACCCATAGTGCTACTCAGCAGGCTGAGGCAGGAAGATCGCTTGAGGCCAGGAGTTTGAGGCCAGGAGTTTGAGGCCAGCCTGGGCAACATAGTGTAACCCTGTCTTTAAAAAAAAAAAAAAAAAAAAAAAACTTCAGATAAACAATGAATAATATTTTAGTATAAGAATGTCCCAGATATTGCATACACATGCTACAGAAATTATTTGTTGTTCATATGAAATCCAAATTTAACAGGACAACCTATATTTTAATTTGCTAAATCTGGTGTTCCTACATACATTGCCCTCAGGAAAAAGGACAAAGCCTTTTTTTTTTCTTTCTTTCTCTTTGAGATGGAATCTCAAAAGCCTGTCACCCAGGCTGGAGTGCAGTGGCACCATCTCGGCTCACTGCAAGCTCCGCCTCCCAGGTTTAAGCATTTCTCCTGCCTCAGCCTCCTGAGTAGCTGAGACTGCAGACGCACACCACCATGCCCAACTAATGTTTGTATTTATAGTAGACACAGAATTTCACCATGTTGGCCAGGCTGGTCTCAAACTCCTGGCCTCAAGTGATCTGCCTGCCTTGGCCTCCCAAAGTGCTGGGATTACAGGTGTGAGCCACCACACCTGGCCAGGATAAAGGATGAAGTCTTTAGTTAGCCCATGAGACCAGTTTGGCCCTGAGCTCATCCCTCCGCTCTCTTCCATATGGACCCTCTGCTTCAGACACAGCTTGTTGCCTTTACTTGAGAAACTCAAGCCCTCCTTCCCCTCTCTGTCCTTTGCAGATGTCCTTTCATTGGAACCCTCTTGGTATCATCTCCTCCCAGTGCCCCACAGTACTTGACCTGACTCATCCTCAGGCCTCTGAAGCATCATCACTTCCTTTCGAGGCCTGTGTTGTATCTGCTCTGTGTGGAGGAGTGCCTCTCTCTGTCTGTCCTGTTCACGTGAGGTACGGCAGGGGTTCCGCAAACATTTGTTGCAGTGAATTACTAAATTCCACAGCCCCTTACACTTTTCCTATCAACAGTTTCCCCTCCTTCAGCCAAATCCTGTGTGCCCCTCAAAGCCCTGTTGGAACCCTAGCTCCTCCAGGCCTTCCCTGAGCCCCATAGACTTCCCTGTGGGGAGGACTCCCTCAGAAGCTCTTTTCTTCTGAGATGCATCTGGTATGTCTCAGTCACATCTGGGGCAGCATCAACAATCTTTTTATCCCATAAGCTTGGCAAGATCAGCAACCCTCAGACTCCCCTGCTATGACCTGTGGTGGTGAGCACTGTGTCTTCCTGACAGACAGTGCTTCTCAACAAACCCTGGTGAGCTTGGGGGAAGCCAAGCTGAGCTCCTGTATTGGCCTCTCCTCCCTGCCACTGGCCAATAACCAAAATCCTAACCCAGCCCTGAAGCAAAGCATCTTACATCCTGTATTCCTATAAAGGAGGCAGGGAGACATCCTTAGTTCCCACTTTATAGGACAGGAAACTAAGGGAGTAGGGGAACCCATTTGTATTAGGGTTCTCTAGAGGGACATAATTACTGGCATGTATATATGTGTATATATATGTGTATATGTGTATATATATGTATATGTATATATGTGTATGTGTATATATATGTATATATGTGTATATATGTATATGTATATGTGTGTGTATATATGTGTATGTATATGTATATGTATATATAAAGGGGAGTTTATCACAAGGTCCCACGATAGGCTGTCTGCAGGCTGAGGAGCAAGGAGAGCCAGTCCAAGTTTCAAAACTGAAGAACTTGGAGTCCGATGTTTGAGGGCAGGAAGCATCCAGCACAGGAGAAAGATGTAGGCTGGGAGGCTAGACCAGTCTCTCGTTTACATTTTTTCTGTCTGTTTATATTCTAGCGCTGATTAGATGGTGCCAACCCAGGTTAAAGGTGGGTCTGCCTTTCCCAGCCCACTGAGTCAAATGTTAATATCCTTTGGCAACACTCTCACAGACATACCCAGGATCAATACTTTGTATCCTTCAGTCCAATCAAGTTGACAGTCAGTATCAACCATCACACCATTGTTCAAGGCTCAGGTCTCTGGATGCCATCCTACCCCAGGGTCTTTGCACCTGCTCTTCCTCTGCCTGGAACACTCTTCCCAGAGATCTTGACATGGATGATGTCGCAGATTAAAGATGGCCACATAGGCCAGGTGTGGTGGCTGACACCTGTAATCCTTGCACTTTGGGAGGCCAAGGCAGGAGGACAGCCCCAGGCAGAGTTCAAAACCAGTCTGAACAGCATAGTGAGACCCCATTGCTACAAAAAAATAAGAAATAAATAGCCAGGCAGGGTGGCACACTCCTGTAGTCCCAGCTACTCAGGAGGCTCAGGTGGGAGGATCACTTGAGCTGAGGAGTTTGAGGATGCAGTGAACTATGATTGTGTTGCTACAGTTCTGCTTGGACAACAGAGCAAGACCCTATCTCTACAGAAAAACAGTTTTTTAATTAACTCGGTGTTGTGGTGCATGCCTACTCAGGAGGTCAAGGCAGGAGGACTGTTTGAGCCTGGGAGCTTGAGGATGCAGTGAGCTATGATCGTGCCATTGCACTCCAGCGTGGGAAATGGAGTGAGACCCTGTCTCAAAAAATAAAAAAAAAAAAAAAAGATTTCATACTAATCACAACTTTGGTACACTTCAAAATCATTTTTGTTACTATCTGCAATGTAGATCATGTCTCTTTTCATGTAAAATATAATATAAATTTATAAATTTATAAAATACAAAGATGGAGTTTCACCATGTTGGCCAGGCTGGTCTTGAACTCCTGGCCTCAAATGATCTGCCCACCCTGGCCTCCCAAAGTTCTGGGATTACAGGTGTGAGCCACCACACCTGGCTGATCATGTCCCATAAGTAAGGCCACAAATATTTTGCTGCTACCCCCACATCAAGAAGTGGCATCCCTTTACCTGCCCTTTGAATCTGGGCAGGGCTTGTGACTTGCTCTGACAACAGAATGTGGCAGAAGTGACCCTTTATGAGTTCAGGAGCCTAGGCCTCAAGAGACCTTGCAAGCTTGTGCCTTCCCCCTCTTGGAATGCTGCTCCTAGGCCACCACATAAGGCAGCTGGTCTACCGGCTGGAGGATACGAGGCCATGTGATAGGGATCTGAGACACCGTGGCCAACAGCCAGCGCCAACCACCAGATGTGTGAGCGAGGCCTTCTTGGACCTTCCAGCTCAGCTGTGACTCCAACTGAATGCAGCTGCAAGTATGACCAGGAGAAACGGGCAGAGGAACCACTCAGGCCAACCAGACTCATGAAAATGGTTGTTGTAAGCCACTAAGTTTGGGGGTTTGTTAGGCGGCTATAGATAACCAAGACAACTGCCTCCTCATTCAGGTGCCTGCTCCCTTCCCCTTCAGTCCCTTCCCTCCCCGCTCAAACCCCCATCAATTGCTGTTTATGCCATTATCCTGTTTCATCCTGTCCAAGGCATTTATCACTGTCTGAAACCATGATGTATTCACTTATGGACCTGCAGTGCATTTCCGCCACGAGGCTGCAATTTCCATGAGGGCAGGGGCCAGAATGGTTTGTTCCCTGCCATCTCCCTCGAGCCTGTGTGTGTGGTGTCTGGCACAGAGAAGCTGCTGTAATTGTTGTTGATGGAGAGATCGTGTGCGTGCCCCTTGCTGCTGTGGTGCCTAGGGGAGCAGCGTGGCAGGTGAGAGCTCCTGCCTGGTCGTGTCTTCCAAAACCGGTGCCCTTGGGAGGGCAGGAGGGCAGGCCAGGTGGCTGGGTTGTTTCAGGGGCAAGAGATTCAGGGAGCCCAAGTTGAGTAGAAAGAAAAGGAAACTGCCAAAACGTTCATTTTCAGCAGGGGCTTAGATTCAGGCCAAGGAAGTTACTAGGGCTTCTCTTCTCCAGGTCAGCTGCGAATTGCCAGCAGCCCAGCCACGCCCTTCTGCAAGATCACCAAGCTGAGAAACTGGGCAATGGGAGGGAGTGTTGGGGACACCGAGTCACTTCCCAGGGGCCAACTATTTCCAAGTCCCTCAGAGTCCTCAGAGTCTGCTTTTTCCAGTGCCAAGGAATTGGTCCAGCAGCCACAGCTTCAGTTGAAGAAAAAATGCATACCCAAGAGAAAAAGAATCAGCTCCCGGGTGCCTTCTTTTTCTCCTTTTTTTTCTTTTTCTTTTTTTATTTTTTTGAGACACAGTCTTGCTCTGTCACCCAGGCTTGAGTTCAGTCGTGCGATCTTGGCTCACTGCAGTCTCCACCTCCCAGGTTCAAGTGATTCTCCTGC